GGCCGGCGTGGGGCGCCTGGCGCCCGTGGTGCGGTGCGACTCGGGTGCCAAGGAGGCCTTTAAAACGCTTTCAGTGCCCTTGGAGGGCACATCGCATATTTTTAAGGCTAAAGTGTTAATATTTGTTGGCCGGTTCATTCGTTTCCTCGATGAGTATTTCCCGAGCAGCTGCGATGCGCCAGGTGCTGTGTCAGCAGCCGGACTCGCGGCGGTGAGTGGGCTGTGCGCGGCGTCTGCCCCCGGGGCTGCTGCTCTTTCTGGGCTTGTGATTTTCACGAGGAACTGAATAACTCTAAATTCTCCTGTATAAAGGCACTGACACGTCGCAGAGTTTAAGTGAAATTCCTTGATTGTATTATTTCCCTGACCGCATTACCGTCTGTTCTTCAGAGAAAACGCCGTCTGCCGGCCTGCTGTTGTCTCTGTCCAAAAGCCTCGGCGCTCTGACAGGGAGCGCCCACGTGCTGCCTCACGGCCGCTGTGGCGTTTGCTGCAGCTGTGTTCGCTGCAGTCGCGCTTACGTGCTGTAGTTACCCAGTGGCTGTCTGTGGCTGAAGTGCTTCCTGGTCGGTCGCCAGGCACAAATCTAGCTTCTTGCTGCTGGTGGAACGGAACGCACCACACAGCGTTCTACTAAACATGCAGAAGTTAAGTGTAATTTTAGATTTAAATGTTTCCAGGTATTAAATGCTGTCACTTCCATACGTGTCTTTTCCTTTTTTTGCTGTGAGAGTCAGCCTGACCCTGTGACCCGTGTCGTGTGTTTGACCCCCACAGGGCACGTCCGGATTTCAGATCTCGGTTTAGCCGTGGAGATCCCAGAAGGGCAGACGATTCAAGGAAGAGCGGGGACGGTCGGCTACATGGGTACGTGAGAGACCGCTGCCGCCGTCCTCCGCCCCCAGCCCTCAGTTACACAGTCACAGAGACTAACGTGCCAGGTGCTGAGGTCAGTCCTGACCGCTGCACCCGTCCCCAGCCTGCCCTCCTCCTGCACAGTGGGGCAGGGGCAGGACGGGACGGTGGCCCCTCAGGAAGCTGCTACTCCGAAGCCTTCGTGAATGGGAGCCCCGGCCTTGGGTCAGCTCCAGAGGCATGGCCTCATGGTGCCTGGCCCGGTGGCGCCGTCCCAACACGGGGAGCCCCTGACGTGAGGGACCTGAGGGCCTCCGAGGAGTCCTGCACCGGCCCCCCCGCCCTTTGTTGCTGCTGTCACCTGGCGCTGGGAGCGGGTGGCCAGCGCCCCTGGGCGCCCTGGCTTGGCTCTGCCTGCTTGGAGGTGGGGTCTTCCCTGAGCACCATTTCCCTTGTTAGTTACTCTGTGGCGATTCCTTTCATCCTCTGTGAATCGTGCCAACTGTTTGTAATAACAGCTCTATTGAAATGTAATTCATATACCGTAAAATCCACCAATCTGAAGAGTACAATTCAGCAGACTTGACTCTACTCACTGAGTTGTGCACCTGTCACTGCTGTCTAATTTCGGAACAAGTTTCGTCCCCTCAGAAGAGAAGCCCTGTGCCCACCAGCAGTCACTCCCCTCCCTCCCCTCCCCCCCCAGCCCTGCCGCCACTAATCTGCTTTCTGTCGTCGTGGGCTTGTCTGTTGGACGTGTTTGTAAGGTTCATCCATGTGGTAACAAACGTTACTTTTATAATGTGTTATTTGGAATTAATTACAAGAAAATCTAAAACTGAAATTTAATATAAATTTCCTGTATTTGTTATGTAGCTCCTGAAGTTCTCAATAACGAGAACTACACGTTTAGTCCCGATTGGTGGGGACTTGGCTGTCTGATATATGAAATGATTCAGGGACATTCTCCATTCAAAAAATTCAAAGAGAAGGTCAAGCGGGCAGAGGTGGAGCGGAGAGTGAAGGAGGACACAGAGGAGTACTCCGGGAGGTTCTCCAAGGACGCCGTGTCCATCTGCAGCATGGTGGGTCGGCTCGGGGAGGGCCATGGGGGTGAGCTGCTCACTGCTCCGGGGACCCGACCGCCACTCAGTCCGTCTCAGGAGAGGCCACCGAGAGCCAGGTGGCCGCCCAGTGCCTCCCGACGCAAGCGCCAGGGCCTTCCTCTCAGGGCAGCGGGGAATGGGGTGCTCAGCTGCCCTCTGGGTTCTGGTCGCTCCGAGCAAAGCAGAGCCGAGTTGGTTGTCTGCTTCCTCAAGAGGTGCCGTTGGAGAGGGGTGGCGGCGCCTGGCCCGTGTTCTCCCTTCCCAGCACAGCGGGCCAGTTTCCTGGGAGGCTGACCATGGGGCAGAGCCGCAGGCTGCTTTGCAGCGGTGAGCTCTCCTTTCTGCCCACATTTCTTCTCCCTTTAACCAGTTGCTGGGGACTGTGGTCCCAACAGATGCCCTGAGTCGATGGCCTGCCATGTGCCTGCCGCTTTCTGGGTGTGCTGAGGGCCTTAAAGACTGCAGGTCACAGCGGGGAGGTGGGCCCCTGGGGTGCAGTCGGGCTTGCCTCTTGTGTGCCCCCAGGGCTGGACCCCTTCCCTGCCCCAAGGCTGTCCCCTCCCGACTGTAAGGGATGAGGGCAGCTCTCCTTATCACTCACTTCTCCTCTTAAGCCAATACTTAGGATTTTCTGAGCACATAAATGTGGCAGGACAGTGTCAGGGGCTCGTGTGGATTTAAGGGGACACTGGTGGCCCGACTGCGCGTCATGCTCCCGCCACGCTCGGCAGGATGGATCCCATGGGCTCAGAGCAGGCGGGGAGTCGGATTCAGTTAAGCAAGTGTGAAGAAGCGGGGGCAGCGTGTGCAGAGGGCTTGATGGCTAGGCCGTGGTGTCCAAGCGGGTTACGGAGGGCAATGAGGAAATGGGCAGACGCTGGGCAGCGTGTGTGCCTCAGCCCGGGGGCCACTCCCTCCTCGCCTGAGTCAGACGGACTGGGGCGCATGGGCAGGGAGCTGCTTGAAATGCAGTCCACGCAGGACTGGCAGGTTGTGGAGAGCGACGGTGTGACCCAGGCAGAGAGTGTCGGCATGGGCATGGAGGACCGGGCCACTGGAGAGCCCGAGGGGGCTTGGGGCCCTGCAGGGTGTTGGAATCAGTGGGTGTGTGGGTAACTTATGGGAGTTGGTGGTGGAAAAGAATTCTTTTGGTTTCCCTTTCCTTTGGTTCCCATACATGGAAGAAAGAGGGAAGGAAAGAGAAAAAGTTGGCTTTTTACAGTAATCCGAATGGGAGGCCAGAGGGAGCCCTGCAATGGATACCTCCTGTGGTTTTCTGTGCTCGGCGACGTACTGTCTCACCTCGCAGTGGATTTCTGAGATGTTCTCGCAGGCTCGCAGTTGAAAGGTTGAGAGCCTGACTCCCGTGGAGTCCCGTGGTCAGGGGCAGCAGGTGGACTTGAGCCCAGGCTTTCTGAGCAGGGCTGTAGGGCGCATTCCTCTGCGCTGTCTGGTCAGGCTTTTGGATGCGTGTGAGTTGGCAGCCGCCTTGATGAGGGAGCCGTGGGATCCTTGAGGTGTCGTCAGGTGTTCGGCCTCACACTTCATTTTCAGGTCTGCGTTTCATTAGCAAAGAACAGCTGCATCGAGCGAGGCCTGTGGAGCCCCTGCCCCGGCTCGGTGCTGGGGACACACAGTGAGCTGAGTCCCTGCAGCCACTGCCCCAGAAGCTTCGAGTCCAGCAGGAAATCCTGGCCTGAGCAGTTCCCAAGTGGGGTGCTCACAGCCGTGGTGAGGGGTCCTCAGGGCCAGGTCGCAGGGACCCTGAGGCAGGAGGCTGTAAGCCCAAGAGTCCAGCGGAAGTCAGCCAGGCAGAGTCCTTCTAGAAGGGAGTGGGGTGCCTGCAGGCCCCGGAGCAGGCCCAGCACAGTAAGTCTGAGGAGGGGGAGAAGTCGGGGTGCTGCTGCTGGTGCCCAGACGGTGAGGGCTGCGGGCGCTCTGGAGCAGGCTGTGCCCTGGCCTCTGCCTGGGGCTTCCACTGATACTCAGAAGAGCAGTGGGAGCTGGTGGTAAGGCTGGGCCACGGCTCAGCCAGCTTCCCCATGAGGCCCAGGAACTGACCGTTAGGCCCTGTGGGTCACCAGCACTGCTCCTCTCGGCCCCTGTGGTGCAGAAGCCACTGCAGCACCGGCCGGGCTGCCAGCCAGCTGCGGCCCACCCGCGGGGCTGGGCGTGTGAGAGGTGGCCTCCGCTGCAGCCTCCCAGCCCCTGGTCTAGGCCACGTTTGTAGGTCCAGATCCTTCCTGCGTGGCTTCGAGCAGAGAAGGACCTTTCTGACTGATGCCGTGGAAGAAGGCCTGTTGGAAGTGTTGGCACTTGCAGGCACACTTCATTTTGCTGTGTTTCACATGTTGAAGGCTTGTAATAACCCGGTGTTGAGCCACTATTTTCCCAGCAGCACTATTTTTAATCATGTACATACATGCCTTTTCTAGGCACAGTGCTATTGCACACTTAATAGACTGCAGGATAGAGTGCACTGGGAGACCACGACGTTCGTGGGACTCGCTTACCACAGTCCTCACATTGCTGCGGTGGTCTGGGGCCCGCCCTGCAGTGTCTCTGAGGTCTGCCTGTGTTAATACATAAGAAAGCAATACTTTGAAAGAAACACTTTGTATTAATTTTAAGAATACACAGTTTTTAGAACTAGGTTTGCTAAGTCTTCGCCTCATCTGAGGCCCTTAGTGATCTGTTTAATTAATAGATTACAGTCACTTCTGATTACAGCGTAGCTTGGCATGGAAGTGGTATCTCTGACGTTTCTAGCAGCTTCTGTTTCTTTTAAAAAAAAATCCTAATTTTTACATGGTTAAACTTTCCTGAAGGATGTGCTTAGCCTACTCTTTATTTGCTGGCAGCTCAGAGGCAAAACTTCTAGTTTCAACTCCTTTTTGAAGCATCACACACTCTCAGTTAGTAAAATCTGAAGTAATGAGGTTGGTTGATACTTTGAAGCTCAAGTGTCTTTGTTTAGATGGAGCTGCCCCCTCGTCTTGGGCTGTCATTGTGGAGATTTTCTCCTTCATCCCCCGTTTCTGTTCTTCCTCAGTTACTCACCAAGAACCCCAAGCAACGCCTGGGCTGCACGGGCGAGGGAGTGGCTGACGTCAAGGGACACCCTGTGTTCAAGGACATTAACTTCCAGAGGCTGGAAGCCAACACGTTAGAACCCCCTTTCTGTCCCGATGTAAGTGTGTCCCACAGGGCAGCGGGGTCGGGCAGATGCAGAATCACCTGTTGCCGCCCTGGTCCCCTTCCATCCTCCCCCAGCCCCCAACGCCCTCGGGCCATCCTCCAGCCCTCCTGGCAGAGCTTGGGGCCGCTTCCGTGCTGGTGGAGCCTGGCCAGGTCACTGCCCTGCTCAGAAACCTCGGCACCGCCCAACCCCATCCTGGGGTGCCCCATGGCCCCTTCCCGTGTCCGCGCTGGCCTGCCTGCGGCTCCCCGCTGCGGGTCGCACAAGCCCCCCGCTCCGTGGGGAGGGCCCTGGAGCGGTCATGGGAGCCTCCTCCTGAGCGTGCTGGGCGGCCCAAATGTGGTCGTGAGTCCCAGGCCCTGCGTGGGCCCGGCCCGTGTCAGAGCTGGCGGGGGTCCCCTCCGGACCGCGTGAACGAGTGAGGAGGGCGGTCTGCGCTCCATCCTTGCTCTACTGCAGGCGCCTTACAGGGACGTGAAGCCAGGGTGGTGCTGCAGGACAGGACGGACGGAAGATGCACAGTTAAATGGTTTTAGTTGTGCAATTCACGAGAGATTATGTTTATTTTATATCGAATGTGCTATAATAGTCACTTCGCCCTTGGAACTCGTTCACGCAGTTCATGTGTTTGAACGCCTCCCACCTGCCACACCGGCTCTAGGTATCAGAGCCACAGGAAGACGAGCGGGTGGGGTCTGTGCCGTTCTGGACCTGCTCGGGCTCGCTGAGATGCAAGTAAAACAAACTGCGAACAAGGAAGACCCCAGCGGGGCTTCCCGAGGCCTCCTGTCCCCAGGCCCTAGGGCTGCTGGGGGTCCTGACCCGGGAGGCGGGCCCCCACAGCCGGCTCTGAGGAGGGAGATGACAGCGGGTGCAGTGCTGGATCTCCCCCCCGAGGGGTAGAGGTGCCAGGCCGTGCTGGGATTCCCCTGACTTAACCAGAGGAGCCCATGGGGGCCCATTGCTGGAGCGTCAGAGGGGGACATGCTAGGCAGTTTGGTTGGCGGGAGGACAGGGCCCAGTCCTCCCATCTCCCTGGACTGTCCCCAGGGCTGGCCTGCCCCTCGGCTTGCTGGAATGGAGTAACTGAACGACAGCTGCTCTCGGCCTTCTTCTGCCCCATGGCTGGGGGTGATCCCAGTCACCGTCAGGCCCGGGCTCCAGCACTCAGTGCGCGTGCGTCCCAGGGGAGCTGTGCAGATGGCCGGGCCGGGCGCTGTGCATGAGGGAGCTGTGGGCTGGGGCAGGGGTCAGTTCCAGCAAGAGCACCTCGTCCGCCCGTCTCCTTCCCCGGCCTCCACTCAGATCCATTGTCCCTGCGGGAGAGGGAAGGGCGGGCGCCTTAGGAGGCTTGTGGGCAGAGGGTGAGTGAGCTGGAGCAGCCAGGCCCACGGGCAGCATTCGAGGCTGCTCCCGAGAGGCCAGGCCAAGCCGGGCAGTGGTGGGGCTGGTGCGTCAGCTTCCTGCACGGTGTGCGTGGATGCAGAAGCGGGGGTGGCTTCCAGCACATCAGCAGCCTCTGTTCTTGCTGACAGCCACACGAGGTTTACTGCAAGGATGTCGCGGACATTGATCAGTTCTCCTCAGTGAGGGGCGTGTACCTGGACAGCAGCGACAACGCCTTCTACAGCCAGTTTGTCACTGGGTGTGTCCCCATCCCCTGGCAGAACGAGGTACTGCCCTCTGCAGCACAGTGCCTGTAACTGGAACTGTAACTGTTCCAGCAGCGACGGAAGAAAATGTTGTGTGTGCAGAGTGGACAGCCTCCTCTTTAAAATATCTTTTTAGCTGTTTTGCACGCAAATCTGTGTGTGTGCGCGCGTGTGTGCGTGTGTATGCATGTGTGTGTGCATGCATGCTTGGAGGTAAAATTACATGTGGCAGCTGCCCTGGTCCCTTCACAGGAGGTGGACAGAGGTGGCCCTCTCGGGTCTGCCGTGCCCCCTGAGCAGGGCTCCCTGAGCAGGGCTGGCCGGCGCCGTGGCTCCCACGGGAGTTGACCACTCTGGGGACTGCCGGGGGCCACGTGACCCAGAGAGGCTGGGAGGCAGCGGAAGTAGGAAGGCAGGAGGGTTCGGGTCCGAGCAGGGTGCCAGGGTGCTGGCTGGCTGTGGGACCTCCACCATGTCTCCGTCTGCCCTCCTGCCATGCAGATGATCGAGTCTGAATGTTTCAAGGACATCAACGAGAGTGAGCATGAGGAAAATGTGACATTAGATCCAGCAGAGAAGGCACAGCAACCAGTTCCCAAACCAAGGAGAAGCTTCTTGTACAGACTTTTCACAAGAGGGGTAAGGGTGGAAAATGTGTTGTTATCATGATGGTTTTAATGTGATGTGTAAAAGAAAAGAAATACTTCACCAGGGTGAAACTCCCTTTGTGCAGCTTTCTTTTTTTGGTGTTTGTCATACAAGACACTTAACGTCATCTAAAAGCGAGCTGAGTGGCGCTTTTTAAGTCCGGCGAGAAACATCCTCACGGTGATGCTGGCTGTCAGCATGAAAACCCCTCTGATCCAGAAAGAAGGAACGGCTTGGGCTGCGCTGCCGGTGACAAAGCCTTTTGAACTAGGCCCGGAGCTAGCTTCTTGTAGAACGATCATAAAACAGTGCCTGTCACTCCCGACTTAGCCTGCTGCGTCGCTAGCCACGTCCACAGGGAAAGCCGGTCCTCCTTGAAGCGTGGAGGAGCGGTCTGGGGAGACTTCCCACAGCAGCGTTACACTTCGACGCCCCCGCGTCTGCGGCCAGGCGGGCTGTCCCGCCTTGGCCTGTCTGCTCCTGAGGGGTCTGTGCCGAGGCTGTCCGCTGACATTCTCATCCCCCGTTTTTCAGTATAAACTCAAGCCCTGGGTGGTGACAGCCTCTCAGCGTGTGTGACCATGTCTCCTATGAGGACTGGGGTTTGGGCGGGAGTGACCCCTCACCTCAGGGTGAATCCGCACTTGTCCACACCGGGGGCACTCAGAGACCCTGCAGCCACCAGGAGATGCTGGGGAGGAAGGAGCTGCTTTGCGCACTCCGCTCAGGGGGGCCCGCCGGGTGGGGGTGTGCGGGGAGCAGGGCGTGCCCTCCCGTTCCTCTGTGTGCAAGCCCAGCGTCCTGCACGAGGTGAAGTCAGCTCCCCTGGCGTCTTCGTGGACCCCTAAGGCAAGCTAGGCCGGCTGTGTTAGGAAGGGATTGACTGGCCTCTGGCCTGTGTTGCAGGGCTGCATCAGCACGGACCCCAGCGAGAAGGAGGAGCTGCCCGCCCAACGGTGACTGCTCGCCGTGCAGCGGGACCTTCACCCGGGAACACGTGCTCGAGGTCTCATCCCATCTGTGAGCTGCAATAAACACGTGCGACACATCTTAAAATGTGTCTATGAGTCTGTAGAGTTTTCTTCATTCATACCTGAATTGTCTTGTCACTAAAGCTAGGCGGAAGAAAGGCTGTTTGAGGACCACTGTGATGCTCAGAAACCCCCTGGATGGACACCTCTGGGCTGTGGCTGCAGAGACGTGGGGGTGGGCGGGGGCATCAGTCCGGAGGTCCTGCTGCTTGCCCCTGGTGTCCCCCTGGGCTACTCCAGGAGGGAGCAGGTCGGTGTCCCTTTAACTGGCCCTGGGTTAGAAGGTGCAGCGACATTCCTGTTGGTAGCTCCCCGGCCTCTTACCAAGATTCTGCCGGCCTGCAGCGTGTCTCCCGGTCCTCTTGTCCACCTGCTGAAAGAGGGTGCTTCCAGGACCCTGAGGTCAGGGCTGGGCTGGCGGGGCTCCTTACCCTCACTCTGGAGTGTGTGGAAAGGGCTTCTGCCCTCTCTGTTTTGTTCTCTGTGTTTGAAATCTGGTGCGTATTCACAGCACAGCTCAGTTCAGACTCATTACATCTCAGGTGCTCAGCAGCCATGTGTGGTCAGTGGCCACGCAGCCCCACACCTACCTTCCAGGTTACAGAAAATACAAGGGGTACAGGAACAAGCTGAATTATACCCTGCGGAGGCAGTCAAGCCCACAGTGAGGGTGCTCCACAGGCACTGGCCTGGGCTCCTCAGAAGGTCAGGGTCAGGGGGAGAGTACATTTCAGGGGTAGAGCGCATGCCTGGCACGCATAAGGCCTTGGGCTCAATCCCCAGCACCGCCACTGAAAAAAAAGGAAGTCAAGGTCATTTAAAAACCACTGACAGCAACGACAACCACACAGGGGGCTGCACGTTAAAAAGACACAGCCACCAGGTGCAGGCCGCGAGACGCGATCTATCCTTGTTTACAGAAGCTTAGAGAACGCATTTGGGGTCACTTGGGTATTTGACTCGGGACTGGAGTTTAGGCGACATTGGCCGGTTAGGTGAAAGTGGTATTGTGGCTCTCAGTTTTGGAGACACCTGCTGAAGTACCGAGGGGTAGAGCGCGGCGGTGTCTCCAGCCTACTTTCAAATGACGGGGGCGGCGTCTACATGCAGAGAAGCAAGTGTGACGAGGTGTTAGGAGCTGCCGAGTCTAGAGGAAGGTATACTGGGTGATCACTGGACTGTTCTTTTTTTAACTTTTTGTACATACAGGAGTGCACCCAGTGTGTTGCGAGGAGAATGGAGTTGAGGTGGCCGGAAGTAGGGAGCCAGTCAGGAGCCCGCAGTGGCTCAGGCAGGCGGGACGCATGGACACAGAAGGGGTGGGCAGGTTTGTGCTCCGATCTGGGTGTGGGAGCAGCATGCATTCTAGCACAGCCTCATCCGCCGGGCTGTGAGTGTGCTATTTACACTACTCCCTGCACCCGCACACAGTTTAAGAGCCCATAGGTGGTGTATGAATTTAACTGAACCAGTTTAAATACTAGCCTGTATTTAAAGTAAAAAGTAAAGGGTAGAAGCTAACCAAAAGGAAAAGTGCTTCATTTTTATTATATTGATATTTTATTTCCCATCCACAGGTCCAGCATGTGTTGATAATGTAAATCTTGTTTCCTTCTGAAAAAGTAATGAGGACGCTGGCAGTGGAACTGAAACCATCTTGACAACAACAGAAGAAACAAACAAAACCCAGAGAGACCCAAAGCAGCTTTTAGAGATGAAAGTGTGCTATCTCGGCTGTGGCGATGGTTCCACAGGTGTTGCATCTGCCCAAACTCGTCAGATTGTATACGTTCGTTAAATGTGCGGTTTTTTGTATGTCATACTTCAAGAGAGCTGTTTTTAAAGAAACCCTGAAATCATGGGACAATTCGATTTGAAAGTTATAATGTTGTACAAGACAAGGTGGCCACACCTGGGGACAGAGCAGACAGCAGTCAGCACGACAGAGCTCCAAACTAAGTCACCACCAGATCCCTGCTGCACCCCTACTGTGTGAGGAAGGCGGGCCCCGGCCTTGCGCAGGAGCTGCCGGTGGAGGTCCCGTGACCCTCTGGGAGAGCAGGCGCAGGGAGAAGGGGGCTCTGTGCTGTTTTGGGTACAGCTGTGTGGTTGAGGAGGCGTGGGGATGGGGAGCCCATCATGCAAAAAGCATCTGTCACGTAAAAATGGGATCCTTGTGTCTTCTCGCTCATTATGAATGTTGCCTTGAAAGCTGTTGAAGACAGGGGTAAGGGCAGGACTCCAGGACACCCTCAGGGAGCCCCTACCCGCCAACACTGGCCGTTCATTTGGTACAGCTGCCCGATTACTGACCAGCTCGACTCCAACTGACTGGATACAGGTCTCCCCTTTTCCCTTGAGAGACGTCAAAATGCATCATGGCCAGGAAGTGGGCTGCAGCTGGGGGGTTGCATATATGTGGTCATAATGTGAAATAATTCAGTACAAGGAGGCCTATACACATTGTACAACAGAGCGAGTGGTCTCAACTCACCAACGGAAGGGAAAGGTTTTCAGATCAGGGCACAGGGCAAAACCCAATTCTGAGCTGTTTCCAAGAGACACTCTTAAACAGAGTGAGGAAGGTTAAAATTTACCACTGAGAATGTGTATCAGGAAAATGCAAACAAAAATAAAGCAGCAGTCACAATCAGAGTCAGGCAAGGTAGAGTCCAGGCCAAGCAGAAAGGGCGCTTTGTAATGTTGAAGATACAGTTCTTAAATGAGATGAAGTGGTCAGAAATAACTATGCACCAGTTAGCAGCCATCACTGCCCCAAAGCAGAGCTGAGGGGTTAATCCAGCTCTCAGTCCCAGATAGATCAGCCCTAAAGAGCACAGCGAGGCGCAACTTAGGAACGTGTGTGCGTGTGGACGGACAGACGGGTAGATGATACACTGATAGACCGTACGTTCTACAGTGGTGATAGAGAATGCGCCTTCTTTCCAGCGCCCGTGGAACAGTCATGAAAAGGGACCGTATATTACGTCACAAAGAAAATCCTAATACAAATTCTGAAAAGATGTAAATACGGTCGAGTATTTGATTACAAACACAGTGGACCTGAAAATCAGTAACAAAAGCAGAAACCAAAGAGGCTTTGGCACCAGGAAATTTAACAGCCTCTACTGAAGTCGTCTTGGGCCAAGGAGGACGTACGATGGAAAACTGCAGAGCTTCTAGAAAACAAAAAGAAGACCTGTATTTCTGATGTATGGGATCAGCTAAGTAGGGCCCAAGGAGAAAACGCAGTGAGTGCCGGAAAATAAAGGCATTGAGCCTCGTAACGCCAAAAGATTGAAAAAAGCATTTAAGAAAAGCAGAAGGAAGAAAGTATTGGGACAAAATAGAAACTCGTGGCTATGAAAGAGAAAAATTATAGCTCAAATAATAGACATTTGTTCTTAAAAATCAGTCATTCAGTCAATCAATCAATCATCAATATCTAACCCAATTAAGGAGGTAAAGGGGGAAAATACAAATACACCAAAAGATGACAAGGGGCGAAGATCTCGGAGAAATTAAAGACACACAGTGCTTGGCACGGCTTTCTGAAAAGAGACATAAAACCTGGATGAAGTGCACTTCTAGGAAAACATAATTTACCAAAGTCAGCCACAGGTGGCCTAGAAAATCTAGACAGACTGACTTCAAGAGAAGAGAGAAAGTTGCCAAAGAGCTACCTTTCACAACAGCACCAGGCTCAGACGATTTGACAGGGAATGTGAGCCAACTTCGGGGGGAGGGATAATTTCACATGGGATTTAAGTGTTCCAGAGCATAGAAAAAGAAGAAAACTTCCCAACCCTTTTTTATAAGGCAGGTATAAATTGACACCAAAATCTTGTCAAGACCTTATGTGAAAACTGTATACCAGTCTCTTCTATGAACGTTAATGCAAAAGCCTTTAATAAAATATTATCAAACAGAATCCAACCACACATTAAAAAACACTACATCAAAATAATGGGTTTATTTTAATAATGCATGAATGTTTCAATATCAGGAAATCCAGTTACATAATAAATCACATTAAATTAAAAGTCCAAAGGAAAAATAAAAGATCATTTTCATAAAGGCATTTGACCAAATTCAACTCTTTTTTTTATATATAAATAGTAAAATACAGTTGACCCTTGAACAACACAGGGTTTGAGGTCCACACAGTTGAAAATTGGCGCATGCCCATGTGCAAATATGGAGGCTGGCCCCCCGTATCCACGGTTCCGCATCCGTGGGTTCACCCAACCACGTATTGTGTAGTACTGCGGTATTGGAAAAAAATCCACATGTAAGTGGACCTGTGCAGTTCAAACTGCGTTGTCCAAGGGCAAACTGTAAATCAATCAGTACTTCTTTAGCATGGATAAAATACATTCATCAGCCAGGAAGGCAGCATCTTTACCTGATGAGGGTTTACCCTGGAGGCATTCATGTTAAGATCAGGAATAAAAGAAGGATGACCACTCTCAAGAGCATCGTACGTAATATTTATGGGAGGAACTTCCCTGCACAGCAGGGATGGGCCAGGGAACGTAGATCTACCCCCTTGATGAAAATAAATAACAAGGCTAGACAAATAGGAACATCGAGAGAGTCAGCAAGTTTCAGGGCTGAAAGCCGGCAGAGGGTGGGAACCTGGAGAAGTGAGCCAAACACTGGGGCTGCTCCTGCTTTGGGGGGTTTGGGGGGTCCTGAGACAGCTGAGAGGCTGAGCTAAGCTTGGGGCTGGGGGGAAAAATCACGCCCGGGACATGCCAGGACTGGGGTCCCAGCCAGCTCACGCTGCACTTTGGGGTTCAGCCCACCCAAGAGTAAGGCTGGCTTAGAAATAAACCAGCTCTCTAAAATGGGTGGCCCAAGCATTGCAAACAGAAGTCTTGCCTGGAGGAAGAAAATACCTTAAGCTTTAAATTACTTGTATAATAATTTTCAAATGCAATGCCCAGCATGTAATTAAAGATAACCAAGCACTCGAGATGAGGCTCGTGACTGAGAACTAGCGGAAACCGCAAGCGTGCAAAGCGCT